TAATATATTTGTATTTCTGGAATAAGCTGTGCAATGATTCAAGAGGTATTAGTAATGAGGTAATGAGGATTATTATCTTTTTTACTTATTTGTATTCAAAAGCCTATCATCATTGTTAAATGCAGATCATTCGTTTTTATATTAAGATTGCAATGGAACTGTTTTTCAAAATTATTTCAAATTTATCAGCCTACAATCTACATTTCTTCTTGACTGAAGGCATCGCTCTCTTCCATACTCTGTTCTCCACATTCCTGGTTACGCTGCTTCAGATTATGTTTTATATTTTACCACACAAAGATTACTATAGTACAAAGTTTCGGTAAAAGCGTCAGCAATTTGTTATAAGCATCTCATTCTGCAAGACGAATAGTTTCTTTCTTTGTGACATTTTAGGCCAAATGGTCAGTATTGTTTGGTGGTCAGTTGGTCAGCATTTAGATATAGAAAGTCGGTATCTACGTAACTAACCTAACGCAACCGAACCTAATATACTTTTCCAAAACATGCTTTTGTAGATGTACGTTTGCTTCGTTACATTTTCATTTGGTTAAAAAAAATGACTATCAATATATTTACTATGGCTTCCAAATTATTAGTATCAACCAGAGTTAATTCACGAAAACTATTTTTTAATATTTTACCGAAAAATATACGTTTGGGAGGAACTCTGAGCAGCGATGACATTCAGGAAATGAAGTCTCAGCTTCTGGAGCTGAAATATTTAATTTTAGAGGAAATTTATCTCAGCCAAGAGTTAAAAAAGAAGCACGAAGCATACATCGAATATATGGAAATGTGTTTAAAAGATGTAATTGAAAAAGAAGATGAACTTTTCGAAAAATTAAAAGAAAACTATTGAAGCTAATCACACGACTCCCCAGAATTTTTCGCTATTTAAGCGTCAATGTCAAAACTTTTAAATGGCTTCTAAATCGTATGTCAAAGCTCTACTCAACATAAGATATACCGGAAAATTACTCGGCGAATTAGAGAAGAATATGTTTCATGGTTTACTTTTAAGTAACTCATATTTAAAGAGATCGATGTGTCAGGAACTCCACAACCAGATTAGCAGTTTGAAATACGTCTTACTAGACAATATTTCTGTTCAAAAGAAAGTTATTGTGAAAAATAAGTTGAATGCGATAAATAAGTATCTGCTAGAACTCGATGATCATGAGCAACAACTTAATCAAAAATAAAAATGAAGAACTACAGACTGCTATCCATGGACTGCATTTAGTGGAAAGTTTTGAAAAACCTGAATAAAAAAACACTCAAGCAGTGCTGAATCTCATTTTAAAACGAATAAACCGTAAAAAGTGTTGTCTATTTTTATATAAAGAGAAGTAATAATATTAGATACTAACAGTAATAATTTAAATTACTGACTTAATATAATAATCAATTGATAATCTTCCCTGCTCTGTGCTTGTGGATTCTATAAGAGCATAGAACGTTGCGCTTCTGATTTAACTCAAAAGTTACTATATTTCTGAATTAATTTTTTGAATTAACTTTACCAACCGACTCGGGTTCCATTCCCGGCGAAGGAATGACAACAGCAACAATTTTTCCTAATTAATTTAAGGTTAGTTGTACTGGGTAATTAACCCTTCAAACGTTTAGAGTCTCATGTTAAGTAGTCTTGCAAATTATCATAAAATAAAACAAACATTGTTAATTTATTTTTATGAATACATAACAAATGTATACATGAATGGAAAGCAAACTTAATGCATGAAATAATACCGAAAATTTATACATGGACTATTTCAAATGATTTTTTTTATTAATTAGGGTACCAAGTTTCATACATCTTTACTTATTGTCTGTCTCTCTCACTTGTTGATAGTAGTAAACTCAATCTTTTTCGGTTTTCTACTTCCGGAAATCGCATTTCTTATCATTTTTTCTTTGAGTTCCTTCAGTTGGACGGCTGACAAGGTGTAAAAGTACATATCCTCAAGCAAGGTTGTGTGTGTATATTTTTCGATGCATTTACCTATTAAACTTGTCGTGTGTAACGGCTTTACTTCAAAGGCTCTTTTAGCAATAATACTCAGAACTGACTGCCTCCATTTTTCCATTACAATTCGTTCGATTTGAGAATTTTATTTTAACGAAGAGAACAACAAATTTCTGTGCATAGTTTTTCGAATGACTTATAGAATTTGTTATTTGATGGTCACAGCTGGCTACATTTTATTATGACTGTTGCTAATTGACATTTAATATTTTCTTTTATCGAATAAAATAAAATAAAAGTGGTCTGTATTCTGTCGAAACTGGCGTTTACTGCGCCATTTGTAGTATTTTCTAAAACGCACTGTTAAGACAGCAGGTAAAAGTTGGTCTGTGTTCTGTCGCAGCTGCCTGCGACGCGCTGATGAGATCCAAAAAGATCGAAATCGGGATCCGTGTCTGGCAATTTCGACAGAATACAGACCACTTCGAATTATTTTATTCGATTAAACTAACGTGCCTATCACGTTGAGGTTGGCTACGCCGGGATTCGGTTTCAGCAAGTAGATATCCACACAAGTGGACCTTGTTGGAGCATACGTAATCCTAAAATGTAGCATCGTGCTACAGATGGCGTTTACTGCGCTATTTGTAGTATTTTATAAATTTACAATAAGATGCTACGTTTTATAGATATTTTATATTACAATCGTGAAGACAGAAGCTGCAGGCTATCGGCAACATTAATAAATAAATATTCCCAACGGTTTAATAACATTATTGAGAGCTTGCAGTTAATCAACGACATACGGCCCGTATTCTGTCTTTATTTGGTTTGGCTCGTACAGATTGTGTAGATGAAATTAGTGTGATTAGTGGAATCCACAAGAAATTGGAAATTGGAAATTCGGAAATAGTTAACATTAGGCATTTTTTATTTACATTTATTAAGTAAACATTTGAACTTTTACAGAAGTATTTTTGAACTTTTGAAACTAACAGTGTTGTCATTTACAAGTACGTTTCTTGAATACTTTATTTTCATATCCTTTGATTTCCCGTAGCTTCTTTTCTATTATCCTAATTGTTGCTAATCTATTTGATCTGAATTGATTTAACTTGAGTATCTCATTCTTATAACGACTAATTTCCTGACTTAAGACACTTCTTAACTTTTTGCTACCAGCGAGGGCTATTCGTTGTAATCTTTCTATTTCCGGATCTTTCTGTTTTCCAACTGCGTTACATAATGGGCCACTAGAATACGTACTGATTTTTTCCTTTTTAGTAAACCTTATCAACGAAAAAAAGTAATACAACAATTTTGAAGTGTTCATGACATCATTTTGCAATATTTTATGTGTCATTGCGTCAGAATTTGCAACAAAGTATTCGAATCCAGTACCAACTTATAAAAGTTTCTAGATCACCACACTATACTTTAGACACTACATATTTTGTTACACGCGCCTTACTTGAACCACTTCTGACTTCCATTCTAAGAACTTATTTAAAGTTTAAAACTAATACAATGTTTGTGTGTTGTATGTAAGAAACCAACGTAGCCTAGTCCAATTCCAAATCAAATCTTTAACTTCTTATTTACACCCCTTATGCCTCTGTTCATCCGCCCCCTAAAACACTTGCTTTTTACAAGGTCATCCCTACCTCTTGTTCTCGTTCTGACAAACGGTCTCTCTCGATCTCAAAACTGTTCAATCGTACACTTCAACGTTTTTTCTGGAATGTCTAATTTTGGATTTCTCAAAGTGAGGCATATGAATCCCTAATCCCTAAAGGTTGGAATTAAAATTGAAATTGAGGAAAATTGCTCCTAAACTTTTATTTGAATAGAAAACTTTAAGGTCTTCTATGGAGAAGGCTTCACAATTGTCTAGGAAATTTACAAAGGGCTACGTGGGGCTTTAGGAATGAGAAATCCTGCTCGATTTTACTGTCTTAAGACCAGACAAAGTATATTTAATTACTAAAACAAAGACCTCTTTAATTTAAACAACTACACATTTATGTAAACAGATACAGTTAAGGAATAAACAGAAAACAATTTCATACATTCTTACATAATTGATTCTCCACCACGATGTCTTCTAATTTCATAACCGAAACTTTACTTGAAAATTGTTTAGTAATTTTGAAAGTTTTAACGGTGTTGCAGTTGTTGGGCTTTAGCTCCATTAATAATTCGTCTATTGTGAGATCGGTGTTCGCATCTGTTTTCATTATTTTTAATAAACTTCCTACTTGCTTCTTCAAGTTCTGAATTTGAAGTTCTAAAGTTTCGTTCACTCCCAACAGCTTTTTGTTTTGGTTTCTTTGCTTCCCTACTTCGTGCTGAAGCGCAACATTTGTTTCCTTCAAAGTATTTAAAAGAACTTGATGATATTTTAGACTCTCGAACAACTTTTTGTTTTTATTTTTTAAACGTCGCTCGTTGGAGTTTATTTTTTCAATAGGTACTACCTGCATTTTGTCAAAAGAAATTGAAGACTTTAAACTTTTCAATTCATTTTCTAAAGAAACAATGTTTTCCAAAAGTTGTTCGTTTTGTGACGATACCGTTGCGAGTTCTTTTTCAAAAAAAATTGTCATTCTATCGGTTGCTTCCGAATGATATTTCAAATAAGCCTTTAAATAAACATTTTCGCCGGTAGCCCTTTGAAGTTCTTCTTTCAAATGGACGATAGTGTCATCGTGACTACCGTAGTTCCCGGATTCTGTATAATTCAAATGACTTTCACTGAGGCAGCTTTGATGTGTGAGATGCATGGTAGAAGTCCATTAAAAGGCTTAACGAGTTTTTGTAACAGTTGTTTTTGTGCAATAAAAATACATTTCTGCAATTAGTTTAACATTAAAATTTAGTTTCAGCTTTCGGTCCCAAAACGCCCGATTGACATTTAGTAATTTTAGTGAAGTAAAATGTCATTAAATATTCAATTAGGAGTCCAGTGGGGAAATCCGGAACAATAAAATGAATGAACTCGATATTTACTATATTTTTTATTGATTTATTTTTTAACTATAAACAGTTATAATGTACAATAAGTATTACAAAAAATAGTGATAATTATATATACATCCATATGTCTCAGTCCAAACCAAGTAAATCACTGTTGCCAATGAGATGCCATTAGATGGTGAAACAGCGAAACGCATTAAGAAGCTAAATTTCATGAGCCAAAATAATAATCCGACGAAAATCATACAACCGTTCATTGTTTCTATTTGAAAATTTCGGATGAAGAGGATTTCGAACAATCAGAAATATTTCTGGTAATTTGACTTTTTCATTGGAACGCTTGTTTAAGAAATCTAGTTCGAACCCCACAGTTTAATCTTTTCTTCTTCAACGAGTACGTATTTTTTAATGAAATTTATTTTCGATATTCGCTTGCTATCTAAATACGTTAAGGTGTGAACGAATAAATAAATAATAATTATTATGTACAAAACCACGCCTATGTAAAGCAAAAGACTCCAGTACCAAGCCATCGTTGAATCAAAAGATGCATAGACGGAATACAGGTTCATGAAGAAAATCACAACAGAAAGCATTAGAGCGGAAATTTTTGTTGATCTGTAAAAAGTAAGAAAAGCTAACACAGTTATACTGGCTAGGATCCAGGAAGATGATGCAAGAAATCAAGCGAAGGCGAAAGAGAGGAAACGACACTATCAACAATGGTGTCGGAGAAAGCAACTGGACAGTTAGAGGAAGGAGAAAGGGTTGGAAATGCTCGTGTGCCATGGATTTCCCTAAAAATGCCAGTAGAAGCTAGAAAAGCAGTTGCTGGTCATGAATGGGCTTGACATTTATGAGTTTTTACACTTTACTTATTTGTAAATCAATGATTTTGTTAAAGGGTAAAACGCCATAAGTGATTCTGGCTAGAGGAAGGCTAGAAATGGACTCAAGGATGATATAGTGAAGTGTGCCAAATTTTTTTGAAAATCAAAATTGGAAAAGGTCATTATTCAACAGTATTACATGTATCAATATCGTCTTCAATGGCGTCCTTGAAACGTAGCAAAACGTTTTCATAACGAAAATCATGAAAAAGCTTGATGTCCTCTAGCCGCCATTGTAGACCTTAGCACGTAAATTCCTTCCAAAAAACTAACCTTACATTTACATAAATCTACCTTAATGTTTTGATTAGAAAATATTGGTGAGACCGAGTTCATCCAGACGGTCAAAGGTCGCATTTTCATAATGTTATAGGTAAAATCGATCCGACGGGACTCTTGTACAAACAAGAGTGGGTGGATCGGTTTGTGAGTTTCGATGATTTAGGGAGGTTAGAAATGAAAAGGAATTAGAAAGAGTAAGAGAGCAGAGAACTCTATGGAAGTCAATAAGAAATAGGCGAGTTAGGTTAGGTCTCAGGCGTGAAGGTCTAGTCAGAGACATATTAGAGGCAGAAACAGGAGTTAGGAGGGGTAGAGGTAGACCTAGTTTAGATTATTGTTCACAAATAGTTAAGGATATGGGTTGTTCTAGCTTTAGGGAAATGAGAAGATAAGCGCAGAATAGCAAAGAGTGGAGGTGCGTGTTCAACCAGTCTTAGGACTGACGACCTTATGATGATGAAGATGATAGGTAGAAAAACGACCTTTTCCAATTTTACACAAAATTGTATACATTGATTTTCAAAATATTCTAGCAAATCATCATGGGTCATCCAGTGAGTCTGCTTCAAACTTCCAGTTGTGCTCTATCTTCATTGCTTATTAAATTTTATATTGAATTCATCGACCCCATGCTTTCATTTGTGAATTTTGGACTTACCTTGAATTGGCATATTTACCCATTAGAGCTGTGTTACTTGTTGCAGCAATTAATGGCAGTGCAGCAAAGGGCAGTTGTATACTCATTAAGATATTGATTATATCGTTCATCCTTGTCATATCTTCAATGTTATTAAAGAAGGCAATGAAAAATGTCGGAATTATGGCAATATTCCTGGTAATCAAGATACGTTTCCAGCGAGAAATTTTTAAATTCAAAAATCCTTCCATGGTAAATTGACCTGTGTAGGTACCGGACATGGTCGAACTTTGACCACAAGCTAAAAGCCCGATCGCCCAAATGTACATGGCTGCCATTCCGAAAGTACAACTTAAAAATATTCCTCCTATATACAAATCTGCTGAAATATATTCGTCGTTTGCCTGCACATAAATAAAACAGTTAAAGCTTACATTAAAGCCTTAAGGATTTAACAACTCGCCTCAAAAATGCCGGTAACATTAATTCCCTTTGCTTCACAGTTGGCAATCTGGAAATGAAAGGAAAATGGAAGTTTATCGAAAGTTTCGAAACATTCAAAAGGGGTGCTACAGATGGCGTTTACCGCGCCATTTGTGGTATTTTTTAAAACGCGCTGTTAAGACGGCAGGTAAAAGTTGGTCTGTGTTCTGTCGCAGCTGCCTGCGACGCGCTGATGAGATTCAAAAGATCGAAATCGCGATCCGCGTCTGGCAGTTTCGACAGCATACAGACCACTTCGAAATATATTATTCAAAAGGGAGTTTAATTATTTCATGGCTGGTCAAATTATTCGTTTGGTGAGATGTTTTCTGTCGGTCTCGGTACCATCAATATAGGTATACTATCAACCTGAATATAAAGCAGACGATCCACGAAAGTGTAGAAACATCATCATCTCTTTTTAATTCACAGTCCTTAAGAAGAATTAATGCTTCAAGATAAATACCCGCAATATAAAATAAGGGAAATATTGAGGGACCTATTTTGCGTCATCGACATAGTCTGCATCAAGTAATCCAAAAAGTAATTCTAACAGTACATTGAACTCCTTGTAATATATTTAGGTCCAAAAACTGTACATTGTATCGATTTAAGTATCGTCATGAACGTAAATTGAAACTACAGAGGTTTATTAAACCAATGAGTGATAGAAAGCATAGGCTTCCAGGGCTGGAATCCGTGTTAGAGCTATGATTCGGGCTGATGTTTAAATAAAGTTGTAGGTTCAAACGGCAACTACCACTAACATCTTCAGTGACCGAGCGAGCGGCATGGCCTAGAGGTTTAGACCATTGTTTAGCATTCGGGAAGACGCCGGCTCGATTCCGGGTTCGTCTGCCTTGGTCCAATTTTTTCTGTGGCTTTCTTGGATCACTTAGGCAAATGCTGGGGTAGTAATATTCCACAGATAATCTTTCATTCTCTTCTGTCTTCATTTCGTCCGTCCCAACTTTCTCACCCGAACCACCACCCACCCATTCCCACGATTCCTGAAAGCAGGCTGAAGAGGGCCTTCCGGCGTAGTCCGGAGGGACTGCCCGCCCNAACATAAGATATACCGGAAAATTACTCGGCGAATTAGAGAAGAATATGTTTCATGGTTTACTTTTAAGTAACTCATATTTAAAGAGATCGATGTGTCAGGAACTCCACAACCAGATTAGCAGTTTGAAATACGTCTTACTAGACAATATTTCTGTTCAAAAGAAAGTTATTGTGAAAAATAAGTTGAATGCGATAAATAAGTATCTGCTAGAACTCGATGATCATGAGCAACAACTTAATCAAAAATAAAAATGAAGAACTACAGACTGCTATCCATGGACTGCATTTAGTGGAAAGTTTTGAAAAACCTGAATAAAAAAACACTCAAGCAGTGCTGAATCTCATTTTAAAACGAATAAACCGTAAAAAGTGTTGTCTATTTTTATATAAAGAGAAGTAATAATATTAGATACTAACAGTAATAATTTAAATTACTGACTTAATATAATAATCAATTGATAATCTTCCCTGCTCTGTGCTTGTGGATTCTATAAGAGCATAGAACGTTGCGCTTCTGATTTAACTCAAAAGTTACTATATTTCTGAATTAATTTTTTGAATTAACTTTACCAACCGACTCGGGTTCCATTCCCGGCGAAGGAATGACAACAGCAACAATTTTTCCTAATTAATTTAAGGTTAGTTGTACTGGGTAATTAACCCTTCAAACGTTTAGAGTCTCATGTTAAGTAGTCTTGCAAATTATCATAAAATAAAACAAACATTGTTAATTTATTTTTATGAATACATAACAAATGTATACATGAATGGAAAGCAAACTTAATGCATGAAATAATACCGAAAATTTATACATGGACTATTTCAAATGATTTTTTTTATTAATTAGGGTACCAAGTTTCATACATCTTTACTTATTGTCTGTCTCTCTCACTTGTTGATAGTAGTAAACTCAATCTTTTTCGGTTTTCTACTTCCGGAAATCGCATTTCTTATCATTTTTTCTTTGAGTTCCTTCAGTTGGACGGCTGACAAGGTGTAAAAGTACATATCCTCAAGCAAGGTTGTGTGTGTATATTTTTCGATGCATTTACCTATTAAACTTGTCGTGTGTAACGGCTTTACTTCAAAGGCTCTTTTAGCAATAATACTCAGAACTGACTGCCTCCATTTTTCCATTACAATTCGTTCGATTTGAGAATTTTATTTTAACGAAGAGAACAACAAATTTCTGTGCATAGTTTTTCGAATGACTTATAGAATTTGTTATTTGATGGTCACAGCTGGCTACATTTTATTATGACTGTTGCTAATTGACATTTAATATTTTCTTTTATCGAATAAAATAAAATAAAAGTGGTCTGTATTCTGTCGAAACTGGCGTTTACTGCGCCATTTGTAGTATTTTCTAAAACGCACTGTTAAGACAGCAGGTAAAAGTTGGTCTGTGTTCTGTCGGAGCTGCCTGCGACGCGCTGATGAGATCCAAAAAGATCGAAATCGCGATCCGCGTCTGGCAGTTTCGACAGAATACAGACCACTTCGAATTATTTTATTCGATTAAGCTAACGTGCCTATCACGTTGAGGTTGGCTACGCCGGGATTCGTTTTCAGCAAGTAGATATCCACACAAGTGGACCTTGTTGGAGCATACGTAATCCTAAAATGTAGCATCGTGCTAC